TGCAGCATGGGTGTGCTGTTCAGTGTTGATTAAAATTTCTGATTAATTACTTCACTGTTTTACTTCTCTTAAATGTTTTGCTAAATGCTGCTTTTGCAAATGAGCCTATATTATGCCATCCTTTGGAATCCTTGTGTACTTGCATATTTGCTGTGTGGCTTGTTAAGTATGTCATATGCTCATTCTTGCAATAATCATCAAACCTCAGTTGAAGATAAAGGATCCAGAAGGAGAAGACGTTTGGCTTATACCCCAGTTGAGCTGCCTGTGGGAGTGGAGCTGAAGCCATCGCTAGACCGTTAATTCCGCTGCTGTTTTCTTTTCTTTGTAAGTATGTAACGTTATTATTAAGATGGATTTGTATATTAAATTGTCAGTTTGTGTACCTCGGCTGATTCCTGGACGAGGATTTTATGCACAAATTAGTTCGGAAATTACTAGTGAATTTCCGGGCGTGACAGGCGGTGGCTGGGTGGGTGGAGAGGAGAAGGAGAGAGGCAGTGGGTAGGTGGGTGGGTGGGTGAAAGGAAAATATCTCGTGCGCGTGATTTTAAATGCTGTCAAAAATTTTTAGCGTTGCTCTGTCTTTTCACTGGCGGCTCTATTTTGTTTTCAAAAATTTTAAACGCTGATTTTCGCTGGCGGACATTCGTTGATTTTCGCTGGCGGACATTTAAGAGATCTGCCTCGAAAAATAGAGTATTTTTTATGGCGGGCGTCTTAACATGGCCACCAGCGAAAACTGGCGGTCATGTACCCCCACCCTCCTTATGTTTTTGCTGGCGGCTTTAGCATATAACCGCCAGTGAAAATTATAGTGTGACACCATGAAATGAAAATTTGTTTTTCTGGTAGCTAGTGGTTATACAGCCTTTTTTTCTCTAACTAAAGATAGAATGGTGACAGGGATTCGACTATATATATATACTAATTAATATTACCTATACTTATGTTCAAGTGGGTGACGTTGCACTTGCGTTAAGGTTAATTAACACAGCATCTGTGGACAACCTCGGACAAAGAACATTATTTCACATGCAACAGGTTAGTGCCTGAAGGTTACAGTTTTTTTTTTTAAAAAAAAAGTATATCTTCATGTCTTAACAAAATCATCTCGATCAATCGGAGTTATGGATCCAGTCAACCAAAACACTAGCATAATAAATCTTAGCTACTAAGCTATGTTAGTTACAGATTTTGCACATTTCTTCAAGATATATATACGAACGGAGAGAGAGCTTGGTGGAGCGATCGATGAGCACTGTGCCTGCGACTATGGTTGCGCAGCAGCAACTGACAAGTAGGATAGCAAAGAAAAACATCTACCTTTACATTTAAAATCAAATGATATGTTTAATGTGAGAACCAAAAAAAAATATCAAGTAATTAAATAGTTTAGAGATAAATAAACATTGCCACCACAACTGCACTCAGTAATTAAAAATTCTTTAATCTTAAGGGACTACTAGCCTTAACACTTCCAACTTTCCAAGTTACAAACCAGCAACCACACAAAGTGTCTTGTTTTTTGTTGGATATCTTGTCTTGCCAACACAAAAGGTGTAACTAATTGTTGGATATCTTGTCTTGCCAACACAAAAGGTGTAACTAATGGTCCAAACTACTAACTTTGGGTACCACGTACCAAAAAAAATATATCATCTATACTAATTGATGTTTCAAATACGAATAGTACTCCCGGTTTCTCAAATAGACGATGTCTCAGAAAGCAATTAAGCACAAAAACTACAAAAATCTTAACTCGCAATTATGTGAAAAATGTATATGAATATTACATATGTAAAAATGGCATTGGTAAATTTTAATCATGAAAACTATTTTGATATAGCTGTACTGTTAGTATCATATAAAACAAACAACTCGTAAATTAAAGTATCCCTAGTAATTAAATTTTGTATAATACAACCTCGTGTTCCCATCTACCCTAGGATCTGATGTGTTAGATTGGAATGGACAATATTGAAAATATACCCAAAAGGAAACGAGCCATTAGTGTATATATGTATAATTAATTAAGTATTAATTATTTCAAACTTAAATATGAATTAATATGATCTTTTAAACAACTTTTTATATAATTTCTTTTATAAAAGCATTTGTTGGTTCGGAAAATGTACCTGCAAAACGATCCTTATTATGGTTATCTCAAACACACAGTAATAAGCTGTACAGTTCCGGTTTTATGGTTAAGGGACACAGTTAGATCAAGGGCAAAAGGTAAGGGAGGCAAAATATACTCTTATTCCCATTCAGTGCCGTCATAGTCCCGGCCCATTACAGGATCAGGCCAGATATATCGATATGGAATAAGTACACTCGCCGCCCCTCATCTTTACATCGAGTTTAATTGGCATCCCTAAACCATAATACCAGAAAAGACAGAAATCTTTACCCCATATCTTAACAAAACCGTCTAATTTAGGTCCCAGACAGTATGGAGCACTGGTTTTTGCTGGCGTGACATCCTAGTCAGCAAAAAAAAAGTAAATAAAAACATTGGGCCCACATGTCAGCCCCACTTCATTCTGTCTCTTTTTTCCCTAACCAAGCACACGTTCGTCGAGTGGCGGCGAGGGAGGCAGCCACCGACCCCGCTCGGGCGCCCGACCTCCTATCAACGAAGGCAGAGACAGGAGAGGCCGTCGATCCTGTCCAAGCTCGAGCTCGCTCGCCTCCGTGTGAGGAAGCGCGTCATCTTGGATAGCGCAGAGGCGGAGGTGACCTCACCCTCCGCGGGAGGTGGAGGTGGAGGGGTGGCTCCGGGCGCGGGAGGCGCGGCGATGACAACGGCGGGCGAGAGCGGCGGCAGAACGGTGGAGGCGGCGGTGGGCGAGTGGCGGCCCCGGGGAGCGGGCAAAGTGGGCGACGCGGGGAGCGAGCGCAGGCGAGTGGCGGCTCCTGGCATGGGCAAAGCGGAGGGGCGTGGGATGCGCAGGTGGGGGGCACGGAGGTCGAGCGGCAGGCGAGCGCGGTGGCATTGGCGGTGGCGGCTCTGGGCGCATGCAGAGCAGGGGCGGGGGACATGAGGGGCGAGCGGCGGCGCCTCTGAGAGCAGGCGTGGTGCGTGCGTCGATGTGCGGCGGCACCTCTCCAAGGACTTCCCCGATGAGCAACTCCCTCACTTACGACGAGCTTTGTCTCCATGCGCGCCGCGCCGAGATCGTGAGGAGGGCACCGATGGTGGAGGGCAACGACGCCACTGCCACCGACGAGGCCGAGCGGCGTGGAGGCATCGGCGGCTGGCTCTCCCATCTGCCACCGCTATCAGAAGAGAAGAAAGTAAAAAAAAAAGAGAAGAAAAAAGAAAGGTGGGCCCCACATTTTCTCTCACTTACATGTGGGCTCCACATACTTTTTTTTTTTTGCTGACTAGGATGCCATGTCAGCGAAACAATATATCCGTAATGCTATGGGACCTAAAATGCACAGTTTTGTATAGTTTAGGGGGTGAGATTTATGGTATTGAGGATAAGGATGTGAAACAAACTCGGTGTAAAGTTGAGGTATGGCAGATGAACTTATTCCTATCGATATTTGTTTCAGCCCATAACTCAGAATGCTCGATGGCCTTTGAACAGCTGCATTAACTGGTCTGAGTAAGCCTGCTGCTACATCGTGGACTCGGATCTGTACGTCTCAAAAGAAGCCCAGCTGGGAGAGAGAGCCCGGTGGGATGTCGAGCTCTTATCCAGCGTCGTCGCCGGTGGCGACAGTTTTAGGGGGTGGAGCCCAGTTATTTCACAGAAGCAAAGTGTAGCAACTTTCACAAGTCATTATTTATCCCTTTGTTTCTATTAGAGTGGTGAGCTTGTTGTAGCCGGTCCTAATGTTGTGTTTTAATTTTAGAATGAATTACAATTTGGGTCATGTTTTATTACTAAAGTTTTACTTTGAATCATGCTATACCTAATTTTTTTCTATTTTGGATTAGGTAACCTTACCTTTGTTGCATAATGGATCACCCTAACTTTTCCCTAGCTATGTCTAACGTCTCCTTCGACAAAAGTATGGTATGCGTATAGGTATGAAAATTCACCGGCGTATCGTTAACGATTTGCTCAAAGTCATTGCAGTGCTGAAGATGTGGTTTGGGGTAGTCTATTGTGCCATAAAGGTAATTTTATTAATCTAAATTAAAGTGAAAAGATTGGATATATGGTGGTCCAAAGTAAAACTTTAGTAGTAAAATACGGCTAAAAGTGAAATTAACTTTTTATTTATAATAGAAATGTTTTACGTCACCAACCTTCATGGTTTACAATCTCGATTGGCTAGCGGATTTCAAGCCCTAGAAGACATTGATTTTTTCCCTTTTTGCTAAATTTGAATGGATTTTTGACAAATTTGTAGTAAAACCGTTCGAGATGCACGTTTCGAGCTGAATAATTATCTGAAAATCGCATGCTAGAATTTCATAAAGTTTAACTTAAATATATCCAAAACGACCCTTTCTTTTTCCTGAGGAATTAAATCTTAATTAAGTTTTGCAGCATGTACATACGACAATGTTCATGAAAGAAAAATCATACTACCTCTGTCCCACTTTAACTACAGTTGTATGTTTCCATGTCTAACGTTTAACTATTCATCTTATTTAAAAATTTTATGAAAAAAAATTAAAAAAATAGTCACACATAAAGTACTATCCATGTTTTATCATCTAATAACAACAAAAATAGTAATCATATATTTTTTTTAATAAGACAGATGATCAAACGTTGAACGTAAACCGTGTAAAACCACGGTCTTTTTGGGATGAAGGTAGTAATATATGAAATAGTATAACATCAAAGAAACTTATTATAGAGGACAGGAAGATACGAGGAAGACCAAGGGACAAGAAGATACGATGAAGACCAAGCTATCCTCTACACAGTAAACAATCGTTTTCTGTCTCTTACGTGTACCTTTCAATACCCATCGTTGAAACAGGAAGTCAGGAAGTCATAAACCCTAGAGATGCTGACGGACAAAACTCTCTGCATCACCATTAATTCGGAAGGATTCAGCGTATAAGTACCCCTAGTGTTCACCTCTCTTCTGCTTCATCTCCTCGATCCATTTCGATCTCCCCATACTCATCTTCCGTTTCAGCATTCAAATAATTAAGGTGAGATTAACACAAGTCCCAGACTTTTCATTTAACTTATAATACTATAGTTGCCATATATAGTACTTGGTATATATGGTAATTAATCCTTGTGCGCTGACACTGATCAAGTTTTCCTAGCTAGAATTGTATAGGCACGCACTATTTTGCAATCCAATAGCTTAGATTTTTGTTTTCCAACAGGCTTGCGCATCGATATATTAGACGAAAAATAACTAAGAATTTCATGCATGCATGATCAGCGCATAAATTTAATTTCCATCGATCTAGAAGTGATTTGTTTTTTGAATTTTCTGAAAAAAAGAAATGAACTTCTTGTTGTAAAGTTAATTAATCCTGCAAAACTCGCGTGTTCTAGACGTGCTTAATATAGCAAGGCTCGAGTAAAACCAGGTAAGATTTGTCAGCTTAATTTGTCTATCTGCATATTAGCATATGGAGTATATATGTTGTCTACTTATCTAATGATCTTAATTCTGATGTTGTACATGTGTGTTAATAATCTGCAGATGGGGGCTTCTATACTGGTCATCACGGTAGACCTGAAATGCTGCCGCTGCAGGGCGAAAATCACCAAGGTCCTGGACTGCCTCAAAGGTATATATAAACTAGCTAATTTCTGCATGAAACCGATCGACCTTAATATAAGTTGAAACCCAAGAATATTGCGAATATTTTCAGGTTCCAAAATATAATAGCATACCGGCCAGGTTGATTAGTGGTTTAATTCATTTGATTGTTTCTCATCGTACATGAAATTATATTACGAACTAATCAGTAATTTTGAGGGGAAAAAAATTCTCAATGAGAAATTTTACAATACTTGAAAAAGTATATTAAGGTATGTAAATTTTACACTAAATTTTTTTACCTTGTGATACTTAAGTATTTAAAGGTATCAAATTTTACAATAAAAAAAGGAGAGGAATACAGGACAATCGTACGGGATGATACTTACTGGGTATCAACCAATACCTACCAAGTATCAGGCAAACCTTAGAGGTATCATCCCGTTCGAACAGGGTATTAACTGATACCTATCAGATAAGGTATCATGCACCGTTCAAACGAAATACCGTCCTATAGTATTTCCTAAAATATAGATAACTTAGGATGATAAAATGACCCTCGATCATTTCTGAAAACGTGTGCGATCGATGCAGAGGAGTACTGCATCGAGAAGACGGAGTTCGAGGAGAAGGACGACAAGGTGATCGTGCGCGGCAAGTTCGACGCCGGCAGCCTCCGCAACAAGATCTGCTGCAAGGCCGGCGGCAAGGTCGTCAAGGACATCAAGACCGTCGACGCTTGGCCGCCGCCCAAGGAGCCGGAGAAGAAGAAGAAGGACGAGAAACCGGTGTGCAAGCTGGTGCCGTTCCCGGTGCCGTACCCAGCGCCGCCGCCGCCGCCGGCGTGCTGCCCGCCCAGTACCCATCAGTGCTACCACTGCTGCCCCGCGCCGCCGAAGCCGAAGCCGAAGCCGTGCGAGTGCACCCACCACTGCGGCGGCCATGGCGGCGGCTGCAATAAACCTGCAGTCTCGCCGTGCGGCGGCGGGTGTTCGATCAGCGACGGCGGCGCCTGTGGCGCCAGCTGCAAGCCGCCGCCGCCGCCGGCGGCGATCTGGCCGCCGCAGCCTAGCTTCTACTACTACCCGCCGCCGCCGTGTGGGGGCTACAAGTTCGCCTGCGAGGAGAACTCCGACGTGTGCGTCATCATGTGACCAAATTAATTAAGCTGTTGCTTAATTTGACGTCGACGGTGCTTCGTTCTTTGCCTCGGAAGTCGGGATAATGACGTCATCTGTGTATATACGTAGTACGTACGTATTGCTGTACCTGTAATTGTTGTTATGTATGTAAAATTCAGTACTAGTCCCTGCTATATACAGTTCTAAAAAAAAGTCCCTACTATACATATATATATACACTATATATAGTACAAAACAAGAACGATTTCCAATATGGTCATGTCTATAAGTGACCGTGTTATTTCGAATATATGGTTATTAGTTTGTGTATATATGTAATTTTTCCTTTTGCTTTGAACCAATAAATAATGCACCTATTGCTTATACTGCTTTTACGTAAGTAATATATCTGCATATCTGTTGTTGCATGTGGTTTTGATTATGTGCACTTTGATATAGAAGACCAAACATATACTTCCTCATCTCCGAATTACTGAATTAACTTGGATCGAGCCACGTCATTAAAGAAAAAAAAGGTTTGTGTGCGTGTGTTTATAGGGGTGAGTGCGCGTGCGTTGTGAGTGTCTGTGTTGTACTGCGTAATTCTAAAAAAAAAAGACCGTTTGATCATTTTCATTCTTAAACCATAACTATAAATGTACTGTATTGCTTATGCACACAAATCCTATATACCCAAAAATATAATTGATCCACACTAACTAATAATTAATATTAGCGATAATTCTTTGTTACCACAAGAAGCGCATGTTACCTAGAATTAATATTTGGCCATTAGATTTGCATTTGCATGGGGATATCAAAGATCTTTTATGTTTTCCCCATTCAAATCATCGATGCCACTGTACGCAAGACACATTCTTCGGTACTAATATTCCGGCACTGATGGGAGGTCATCATTAATGCCGGTTTCAAAACTATGATTGATGAGGTTTTATCCGATTGTCACGGTGGGATTTGAATCTAAGACACCCCCTTGCACGGATGCAGATCCCCCGCAGTTGGTGCCAAATCCACCGGGTGGATTTCAACAAATCTGAACAATTAGTTTCTTTCTAGGAGCTAGATGTAGCCACATCACCTTTTTTTTTACCTAATCCCATGCACGAGAACTGAAGCATACCAAAAACTTTCTACCAATCTCTTGATATGACATCAAGACATTGTGTAGAAGCATCATAATGACAAAAAAATTTTTCTTCACGCGGTTCAGAATGATTAATCATGACGTTTTGATTTGCTATACCTGTGACGATGAGGAGGGGGCGTTGGAGTCGGATCCGCCCCTCCCGTCACCGCCACTAGTGGACCCGCGCGCGTGGGGTGTGTAGAAGTGGCGCCATTCGCGCGGGAGGGGGAGGGGCCGCCGGATCTGCCCTTCCCATTGCCCACTAACGTCCTCACCCTCGCCCGCCATTCTCTCGTCGGGAGTAGAGGAGAGGGGAGGAGTGGCGGGAGAGGAGTGGAAGTGCGAGGATAGAGAGGAGTGAGAGTGCAGGGGGAGGGAGGAGTGGGAGTGGGGGGATGGGGGACGTGAGGACTTAGTGGGAAAAAACGAGAGGGGTATATTCGTACGCAGGTTTCTTAAGACGTCCGCACATGCTGGCTTGTTAAGAGGCTCACCTACGGACCTCTCCCTTATTTTCGTACGTGATTATCGAACTGTGTTCGGGGATTGATTTTTGTATGTGGGAGAAGTTATACTTCGCCTGCAATTTAAAGTGGGTCTCACATAGATAGCCCAATTTTGTAGTAGTGGATGGAGTAGTTAGTAAGAGAGCGAGCAATCATGTCCTGGCTTTAATTATTCATCTTTTCTTCCTACAGTAATCCTGACAGTCTCCCATTTGACAGTGAGCAATGAGTATCATCTACTACATCCGTTCTAAAATATATAAGTGATTTCACCCATATAATATACTACCTCCCTTTTTTAATATATGACTCCGTTAATTTTTTGACAAACGTTTGACCATTCGTCTTATTCAAAATTTTTATATAAATAAAAAAATAAATCATGCTTAAAAAAACATTTGACAATAAATCAAGTCATAATAAAATAAATAATAATTACATATATTTTTTAATAAGACGAATAGTCAAACATACCTTAAAAAGTTGATGGCGTCATATATTATAAAACGGAGTAAGTATGTGCAAAATATCTTACTCCCTTTGTCCCATAATATAAGGCGTGCACGTATGTCAAGATTCAACTTTTCAACATTTGACCAACACTTAGTATAATATATATGAAATGAATTTTATTTGTTAAAAATTATATCATTAGACTGACATTTAAATTTACTTTCATATGATATGGTTATAATATTATTGCTACAAATCTTATAGTATATGAGAAGTTATAAGTTAAAGATTAGTTTTAGAGACATGTCAACTTTGACCGTGTCTTATATTATAGGATAGAGGCAGTATATATTTTAGAACGAATGGAGCAGTACATATACTATATATCTATACATCCCACGTTTTGCAAAACTAGTCAGTTTCTCGCTTTGGTTACCTTCAACCCGATGTGGACTCACCACCAAACTCAGGACGATTGTCGATCGATCGATCGCCGTCGAACGCTGTGACAGGTCTCTACAACCGACAGCGAAGGAACGACCAATGATTCCTATATGGTGGCTGTTGATGTTCTTGTCCATCCCTGCGTAAACTTCTATATCTAATATGTCCTCTCTATATCTTGTCTTCGTAAACTTCTATATCTACTCTCTGTATTATCTTGTCTTCTGCAGGTTGAAATAACGAATAATTCGTACTAGCTCCCACATTATTGGCAGTCAACCTCCTCGGCCGGCCGCAATTTGCCAAACATTTCGTTCTCTCTGACATACTCCCTCCGTTTCATAATGTAAGACTTTCTAGCATTGCTCATATTCATATAGATGTTAATGAATCTAGATACACATATATGTCTAGATTCATTAACATTTATATGAATGTGGACAATACTAGAAAGACTTACATTATAAAACGGAGGACGTATAATACAGGGGAGTGACCAACGATTGTTGTGTTATCGTGCGTGCCAGTCTAACCGTTTCACCTATACAGCTGATTATAATCGTAATGTTTCTTAACGATAAAAGAATTATTTACTAATAAGACTATTATGTGTATGTTGTTAGCTACTTAAAAGTCAATGATAAAAAATAAACTATAATAAAAAAAATCAAATCAACTATAAAACTAAGATTTGAAATTTAAATTTTTGGCTTCTACTGATAAGCTCAATGGACCCTAGTAGAGAACTTCTACATGCGTGTGATCTAGGGTGGGTGTTGTACTTTTGCGTGTGCTCTAGGGTGGAAGTTTGTTCACTTGTGAAAGCTATGTGATAGTGACTTTGTGGCTCACTTTTTCTTTTAACTAGGATATGCTCCGGTATGAAATATGGGCATGTTTGGTTGGGCTCTAAGTATTCCTCGAAAAATGTAGTCAGCAGTGGAGCTATGTATATATGGAGCGAACCGAGAACCTCGCTCCACCCTTCTAATTTACTTTTTTAATCACTATGAGTCATTGACATATGAAATAGTACTTTTCATCTTTGAAATCTTTGCGATGGTATTCTTCAGTATTGCCTTATGAAAAATGACAATGTATATTGAAACTCATAATGTAATTGATTTCGAAATTTAAAGTAATTACAATGTAAGTATAGTTAATTTGCAACATAAAACGATTTGATTTTTTTTAAAATATGGTGCTATAAATATAGCTTCTTCCTCCGAGTAGCAACATTTTAGAATAAAACAAATACACTATAAAAATATATTCAATCATGAATTTAATGAAACTAATTAATTTAGTGTTATTAAAACAAACCCAAAATGTTCTATAGATATGCTATGTTTTTCTAAACTTGGTCGACCAAATTTACATAAGTTTTACTCAACATAACTTAAAATGTTTATTTGTAACACAGAAAAGATTGTGTATTAACATTACACGAGAAATTATTTAATTGGATGAGAAATGCAAGCCATGTATGTTGAAGAGATATACACCCTCTGTTCCAAAATATAATGGATTCACATTTTAATAATACAAATCTAGACAGTATAATATGTAACATCAAATAAAAAACCCTTATATTTTAGCACATAGGGAGCATATATGACTTGTCACTTGCCTCCATCTATTTAACGAGGGCTCAGGTGTACGTACGTGTACCTGTGCAATAATTAATGTTTGCATATATTGGATGCAATGAAAAGAAAACAATTATCCGCAAGGGTAAAACGAGCCGACAAGAAATGAGGAACAGATTACATGTTGACACGTGGACCCAGTGAGGAAATTAAAGGAGCAATTCGACACGTACGTGTCCATTTCGTCGATCAATCGATAGGATAACATCGACAAAACTGCCTCGAAACACCACAAGAATTACTTTTATAACCGACAATACTATTCATAAAGCTTTTAGGACAGTGATACCTAATAATTTTGTAATTCATTCAGTTAATAATATGCCAAGTGATCGAAGAGAATGAAAAAGGTGATGTAGAAAATGAAATGTGCCCATAATAAGCTTCTATATTTTTTGGGTTTGGGTGTGTGGTGGGCCAAAAACACATGGGCCTTATATATGGAGGGAACATCGGCCCATGAAAACGTGGGCCTTTTTCTATGCACACTCCATGCATGTACCCTACTGAGATCAGTCACAGGCTTGCAGGTGTTAGCCCACTTGTCCAACTATATTTCTATATTTAATTAGGCCCTCTCATATATTAAACATTGGAATTAATTAAACCATCAATGACACATCCAGTGTTGCAGTAGTCACAGGTAATAAATAAATAAACGATCAAACAAAGGTAGATACATAAATATATATCATATATATGAGTAAGAACTGGGAAAATATTACACTGAAGCGCCAGCAACACACGAGTGACGAGTGCATGCCGACTGATCATATTTATACATACATACATACTCCATCAAACCCCAAAAGAATATCACTAAAAAAATGATAAAAACGGAATGCATCTCGAGGGCTCAAGGCCCAAACTAAACAGGGCCCATAAACCCCCATCGCTGAGGATTCAGGCCCAACTAAGAAATAGGAGATTAATAAAAAATAATAATAATCGAAATACGCATTATTATATCTCACAAACACATGCGAAGTAATAATAATAATCAAAGTGAGTAGTAAACTGCTAAGTGCACCCCAGCAACTCACCACGCCGCTGTCCCCCACCGGCGGCGGGCGCAGGAGGTCGATCACGGCGGTCGGTCGCCGGCGGCGGCGGCGACACGGACAACGCCATGGTCGGTGATGACGACCCCGTTTCGATCGGTTTCAGTAGTAGTAGGACGACGACGAGCCGCCGAGCTGGAACCCGTCGGCGCCGGCGTCGTCGACGGCCGGCATCGGCGAGAAGAGCGGGCTGTGCACGTACCCCTCCTCGAAGTACATCCCGTGCGAGCCTGCCGCCGCCGCCGCCGCCGGCGAGGAGGACGAGTACGAGGCGAAGTCGGAGGCGTCGCACCACGACGACCCTCCGCCATTGCCGCCGCAGTACATGGAGACGTCGTCGACCATCCCGCCGCCGCCGCTGGAGTATTCGTCGCTGCTGGCGAAGCCGCCGCCGCCGCCCGTCACGCTGGGCGGGAGGTCGTCGGGCATGGCCGCAATGTCGTCCATCAGCGACGACATGTCGACGCCGCCGCCGTACATGTACTCGCCGCCGAATTCGACTCCTCCTCCTCCGGCCATCACCGCCGCCGGAGTGGGCAGCGCGGCGGCGGCGGAGGGATTGGCGTAGAACGGCTGGAGCAGCTGATCGGAGGCGTCGGCGGAGAGGTCGGGGGAGAGGTAGGGGGTGACGGAGGAGCCCGGGGGGAGGTCCGGGTAGGCGAAGTTGGTGCGCGCGCGGGCGCCGCGGAGCGACCTCGCGGCGCGGTCGTAGGCGACGGCGGCCTCCTCCGCCGTGTCGAACGTCCCCAGCCAGTGCCTCTCCTTCGTCGCCGGGTCCCTGATCTCCGCCGCGTACCTCCCCCACGGCCTCCTCCTCACCCCAAGGTACCTCGTCTGGTTATTCCCTCCCTCCGCCGCCGCCGCCTGCTGCTGCTTCTTCTTCGACGCCGACGACGACGACGACTTCTTCTCCCCACCACCACCACCACCACCCGCCGCCGCCGCCGACGACGAGTAGAAGTACGAGGAGAAGTTCATCATCTCGGAGAGAGAGAGAGAGAGAATCTATTGGTCGTTGACGAGAGGAGAGAGAGAAGAGAGAGAAGCTGTAGCAATGGTGGTTGGGATCGACGGCGATGGCGAGCGATGCTGATGCTGCATGGGGGAGGCTGCATGGGAGTATATATAAGCGCGGGAAAAGCGAAAAGTGGAGGGAAGAAGAGGGAGAGTTTTAATTTAATTTTAGTTATAGTGGGGAGGAGGTTGGCCAAAAGCAGCAAAGAGAAGGGGGAGATTATGTGCTAATACACCTATTATTAACTTAATCCCTATATGGGGGATATATAACTTTGTGCCATGCATGATGATGATGATGATTAATTCGATCCATGCAATGTATGTGAAGTGAATTAGCAGTGAAGTGATGTGTAGCTAAGTAGATAGGATGATGCATGCATGGATGGCACTTTGGGTTTGGGTTTCGATTCTGTGTGGGGACAGAGGTAACCAAAGGGAGAGGGGGTGGTCAACCCAATGATTTGGACTGGTGGATGGAAGGAGGGTGCATGATTGTATATGGCCATATGGGATTAATGTTGTCAATAATATGTACTACTAACAGGTTAAATATTAGGAAGTTTGAGTAAAATAAACACCTCAATTACATGCCTTCTTATTATTACCACAACATGTTATTTGGGTGGAAGTGGGTTATAATCTCTCGAGGAAATGTCTTCTCTGTTTTTTTTAAAAAAATCAATGCTAATAGTTATGAAAAAAAGTAAAAAAAATATAAATAGTTATGAAAAATTCTAGAAACTTTTGATCATGCAGAGTACACTGGTATCTGTCACTCTGCAAATTCTCAATTTACATGTCGATCTTATTACCACAAACATGTCAATTTGATCTATGCTCCTCTGTTTTTGGTTCTCAGGAGAAGAGAGTGATCATGAATGGGTGTGTTTGTCAATGCTATAGTGAAACACAGAGATTAGGATAGGGACGCTCGCATCACTGAGTTGCTTTACCTACTCGTCTAGCTATAAATGGCATTGTCGCCTCGGCGAAGAACATGATAAGATATGTGTTACCCTCGATGTAGTTCGTTTGCACATCATGTAGGACACACACTCTGTCACTGAAACATCCTAGCTAAATTTCCACACACTGAAATAAACACATCAAGTTACTCCCACGCAAACAACAAACACCAGATGCATGCGAGTATACCACATGGGATTGTTTGAGATATATGAAGATGAAGACGAAGACGAAGTCAGCGCACGTAATAAAGCCATTAGCATATGTTATTAATTGAGTTTTAGCTGTTACAAACTAAAAAATAGATTTAATTTAATATTCTAAAACAACTTTCATGTAGAAAAATTTAACAGTTTGAAAAACGTACTAACGAAGACCGAGATAAAATCTCTATTTTAATAAGAAAAGAACATGGCCTAGATGCTGACCCCACATCCAAGTGACATAACACATTTATGCCATAGCTCAACTAGACAAACAATTAAGAGAGAATCCATTATATTTCACTGAAATTACAATCGATTTATAATTTGCCAATGACTTTGTCACGTTTTACAATATACCATCGATTTTTTTACTTAATTTATACGATTTATTATTGCCGTCCGAATCCCGATTAACCTCCATTAGGACTGTAGAATTTTTTTTCCAGATAACCAAAATAGCCCTAGTATAAAAACTACTGAAATTACAACAAAAGTTCCAAAATTAATCCTTTCAGCGATCCTTGCATTACATGCATGCCGGAAACTTCCTCCTTCCCCGGCAAGGCAGGCAGGCAGGCAGGCCGGCCGGCCGGCCAAGTTGCCCAGTACAGTGTACTCCTCCTAGCTCCTTGACGGCGGCGGTGCATGGCGTCCACGCCGCCGTGCGCGCGTACGTGGACCACGTACCCCCGCCGGGCGGCGACCGTTGCCCGGGCAGGCAGCCCACGACGGCAGGCAGGTAGTGTGTCGGTCGCGCGCATGCATGCATGATCGAGAGACAGACAGGGGGCGCGAAGGCGCGAAGCAGGCAGGAGGCACGTAGTACCAGTAGTGCGCGTTAACGCGCTTCACCGACCAACCACAGCAACACGACGTACGTACGCGCGCGTGCATGCAGCGCCTGGCCGGCGAGCTCTGTGTGGACGCATGCATGCATGGCCGCCGCCGCAGCCAACGGGATCGTTTCGCTTCAATTCGCTCGCCGATCGAGGGCGGCCGCCGGCCGATCGCCGGCGGGGCCCGGCCTCCATGTCCAGCGAAACCGACCGCGAGCGAGAAGAACGTGCGTGGGCGCGACGTCGACAGGACAAACTATAGGCTCGGTCGTTGTTGCTGAGCAGTATGTATCAAAGCTAGGGCCGGCAGTACGTACGTACACACGTGAAATATTCGTCTCTCTCCGTGGGGATAAAATCTAGGGATTCGTTTAAAAACTGTCCAAGTTTTTTTTCAATAAAAAACTTTCGGATATGATTATAGTATAGTTTGTAATGTAATTATGTTGAGTTGTAAGTTATAGTATAACTACTCCATCCGATCCGTTTCAGAGTAGTATTTTCAACTAAAGACAAATATATTATGAAAATATATTCAATTATAAATTTAATGAAACTAATTTGGTGTTACAAATATTACTATATTTATTTACAAATTTAGTCAAATTTAAAGTACGTGGTTTGACTTTGACCAAAGTCAAAACTAATTATAATTTTGAAATAGAGGAGTACGTTACAATCTCTATATAAATATATAACTTAGATATGAAAGTGTATATTTTTAAATTAATACTTAGATATAAGTTATACATATTATACTTATAGTATATAGCTATTGTAGAATTATATTACAACTTATATTATTGCAAGATTTGAAAGTATATTTCATTAGAATAACTTAATTACGGTAGTTTTCTTAAACAGTGACTGCTCTCTTCGTCTCAGAATAAATAAATATAGCACGAGACATGATACACTGTTGGATGACGGAGGGAGTAGGCAGGAACCGACCTGAAAATTAATTAACCGCCCGTTCTCTCCCCGTACGTATAGTATACGAGCACGTGGCCGGTCGATCAACGTCTGCAGTGTACATGTGAGTTAGCTCGGGTTTAATTCGATCGATCGCCTCTACGGTACATCCAATTATTTTCCCAAACAGTATACTACAATCGAACATGCATTACTACACCACACTCAGTACTATATACTTTACTGCTATACATGCACATTTATGTACTATCAGGGGGATAATTAAGCCAGGTACGGCACACTACGTTTGGTAGCAATCCCCACATTTAGGCCCCTTTTCATTAGGACTATTGTACAGATTTTTTTTTGCAGTCGATTATATATATTTATATGGATGAATTACATATTTTAATAATTAAATAAATTTAACAAATTGCTCCGTATAATTTATCTAAGCTTAGAGCCTCATTGGTTGGCCTAATAAGCTAAAGCAAAAGCCAAAATTTGAATGTTCTAACTTGATTTTGAATTTGATTTTAAGATATTTTTAACGTATTTTTTTAGCATGGATTTTTAAAACGTTACGAACAAATAAATAAAAATTTTATCTATAAATTATTTTTTATCCCTAATAAGCCGTTTTAATTTATTAGGGAATATGGGTAACCTATGAGCCTCTTATTTTTCGAAGCATGGAGCAAATAATCCATTTCAAAAATCTAGCGAGTTAGCTGTAAAGAACCTTAACTCCAAATATCCATTTCAAAAATCTAGCGAGTTAGCGAGTTATTAATCTTAACTCCAAATATTTGCTACCTGCTACTGCTGGAAACACTCACAACATTAAAACCAGAGTCAAATTACTGTTATATACTCCATACTACTACTAACAATTTCGCTGCGAGAGACAGAAAGGGTTAATGCAGCGAGCGCAGGTAGGGCCATTGATCCATCCATCATCTCCATCGATTATCCAAGTGGGGCTCAATCAGGAGGAGATGGGAGAGAGAGGACTTGTCCATGTGTGCTTTCCCCATCTCCTTCTGCCAATACAGCAGCAGCAGCAGCAGCTTGGTCCAACCGTTGCAACTGCCGCCATTAATTCTCGTTACGAAGCAGGTGCGATGCGATCCATATCGTTTTTTCCGGTACATGGAGCCTGGCCTGGGCTGCCTCTCCCTACCCTACGCATGCATATGGCTTTTAATTTTTCTGGTTGCATATCATCAGGTTCTTCAGCAAGATCGATCGATCGATGGATGGATCGATGGATCGATCATGGATGGAGCAACAGCCATCATGCTTTGCTTGCCCAGGCGCCCACTGTATTTATTGATTGATTAATAAAAATTTGCAGTACAAATGCCATGTCGCCTTGTCAGTGATCCTCTCGATCGCCCTCTCCGTCCCTTAATTCTGCTGCTTCTTCCCTTGTCCTTGTGTCTGGTGATCTCCTCCACATGTATGTCTTCTCCCCCTCACGAAAAGTTGTCGATCGTATTGAACAATGGTGTTTTAATTTGAAGTTTTTGTAATAATAATAAAGGAATCGTTCTGGTTTTTGCTTCGAAGAAGCTAGAGTACGTCGATTATTATTGTAAAAGTTGCAATCAAAACGAGTATGGAATATGGATATAGTTAAATGGAAAATTTGAAGTATCAATGTCATGACAATCAAATTGGTATATTTTATATTTAAAATTAAAATAGCTATATAGTTTAATCAGTTTTGAAAATAAATCACATATATTAGAAACAATGTGGTCATAGGTTGTACTCGATAAATCGTGCCGATGGACAAAACGACATGTTTTCTTGACCGATTGATCATATATATACACATAACTAATATATTTATTTTTATTTTGTATAAAATAATTGTTTGTCCGACAAATGCAGTTGCAATGGCACTGTTATGATCTGATACTTAAAAGAATCAGATTTCTTCTCTACGATCGACCTGATGAAAAATCAAGCATATTTTCTTCTCGCTCCTTTTGTTTTAGCTGGTCAAATCGGCTCAGGTTTCTTTTTCCACATGTATGTTTATCCTACCACGAAAAGTTGTCGTGCCGAATGAAATGAAATACTGAATAGACAAATGATTTTGCGATAATTATTCGATGTTACAGGCGAATGAATTAACTATTACAAAGTTAAAACAATATATTAATAAGATATTTATGTATAGATACTGTTTAAGACCCCTTAAGAGTTTGGGAAGCATGCTGCCATTCCACTCTCCAAAAACAAACAGGGCTTCACATTTG